GCTTCCTTAGCCTCTTTGCCTCGGAGACCTTGGATATTAACAGAACACAGTACTGCAAGAAAAACTACAGAACCTTAGAGGGCAAAGGCAGACAGATGGACCTCTGCAACTTCAAGGTCAGCCTTAGAAAGAGTTCCAGGCCTACTAGACCTACAAAAACACTACTATATAGCCCCAATTCTAGAGACTGGCCCCTCAAGGTAGAAGCTAGACCAATCACCTCAATGTATTTCCTAAATTTCAAGGTACCACTGACTTCAACCATCAAGCCTACACACCTACTCACACAAACACACACAGAGCCAGGAGTAATGAGGCACATTTATATTTCCAGCATGTGGAAGGCTGAGACAGAAAGAGAAAAAGAATTGGAGGCTAGTAAGTTAAGGGAGACCCTGTCTCAAAACCAAACATACTTGAAAACTGTAACAAGTGTATCCTTAAAGTACTGACTTCTAGCAGTAGGAAAAAGCAATGAAAAGGACATCAGAGTACATTTTTAACTCACCACACAGTTGCATTATGTATTTTTCTGATGCAATAAGCAGGAAAATTTGAAATCTATTTTAACTCCATAGCTACTAATACTGAGGAAAGCACCCAGGAAAGAAAACATAACCAATCTTGAGATGCTTCTAACAGAATCTACAGACAGAAGAATACCTTTATTTGCATTTAATTATCACTAATGCTTTGGAAAAACTATGTCAGAATGAAACTGAGGCATAAGAACTTGACGACTTGCTCAAAGCCCAACAGCTAGGAAACTGTGAAGCCCAAACTCAATTGTAATGCCAGTAAATTAGGCACCAGGCAGTATTCTTGAGGACCAGGCAGAACCAAGAGTTCTCAAGAATCTGGGTACAACTACCAATGACAAAGGATTTTATTATTTGCATTCACACATGCAAGGACTAAAACAACAATCAAGAATTACAGGCCCCGGGCAGTGGTGGCATATGCCTTTAATCCCAGCACATGGGGGGCAGAGGCAGGCCAATCTCTGTAGACCAGCCTAGAGTTCCAGGACTGGCCCCAAAGCTACAGAGAAACTCTGTAAAAAGCCAATAAATCCCAACTATCTTTCCTGCTGCTAAGCCTCAAACACAAGAACTCCAGAGAGGAAGTAGTGACAACATTGGGTACCTGGGACAGGGAAACTGGACTTAGGAAACTGAAAAGGGGCTGAGGCTGAGAAACATAGGAAGGCTGGGTAAGAGACAAATACACACAAGCAGGGTGACAAGGTGGTAGAACTTTCTTCCAGCATTCCAGAAAAGCAAGAACCTTCCACATAATGAAGCTGGGCAGCTAAGAAAATGGAACTTCATTTGCTCAAAATGCTATATATACTACAGTTGTCTTATGTACACAGCTCCACCAACCAACCCTTAAGTACCTGTTCTCAGGCCCTGTTTCCAACACCAACAGGGACATTCTGGAACTACAACCCATCCAACCACAGCCTCTAAAACCAGCTAAAGCAACTCCACTTGGAGCACAGTGGAACTGGCTTTGCAATCAGAGCTCTAAATAAAAGTAGGAACTATCTTTAACATCCAGGTCTCCCTTCCTTGAATGAAGGTCACATCTACAGCACTCAAGAGGTATTATGGGAGCAACAATGGACGTCCACCTTCCCCACCATTCCCTCCCTCCTACACCAGCCTACCTTTCTTCACAATAGCAAAGACAGCTAATTAAACAGTGTACGCATAATCCAAGCCACATACTACATATACACATTGCTCACTTCATCTCAGCTCCAGCTTTCGACTAAATAATGCCTAGAGCCTTCTTTTTTAAGAGAAAAATAAAAACTTTATAAGCCTCAACTTCCTGCCCAATCAACAAGAAATTATTTTGTCCTCAGAAGTCTGTTACAAATGACTCACTTAGGAAACTATTAAGAGCTAGGCCGCAGTAGAGCACAGCCTGCTGAGAGTTCAAGGACAGCCAGGACTACTCAGAGAAGCCTTGCCTGGGGGGAGGGGGGAATTTGTTCTTAGCAAATTGTCCTGCCTTTACACTTGTTAAGTTCTGAGTTTAATTACAACTGTAACCAACGTATACCACCATTACTAATCTCAAAACCAGTAGTAAGCAGTGATCGCAAACAGGTGAGATACAAAGGTATTAGAACATCATCCCTACCAACAGCAATGCAGGTATTTGAACTCAGGCACACTCCTAAGCAGTACACTTACTCAAAGAAAACACACCTCGGCACTCAGGAAAATTACTTCCTCCACATGCACTGTTTCAGGTACTCTCCTCTCAATTCTAGCACGATTCAAAGACTTCTGACTGTCTCATCCTGTCCTGCGAACTCCAACCAGGAACACGAGACAGCTTAAGCCCCAATCCTCAAGAAACTCAAGCCCTTCTTCAGTCTCAAACCAAAATGGGAAAAGGTTGTAGGGATGTCTTCCAACTCAACTCTTTCCTCGGAATCCCTAAACTCAGCATCGACATCGCCTGCCTTTCTTTCTGGTCCGAATTCCTAGTATAGGACCCTACCTTTGAGTAGCTGCCTCCACTAACACATTAAGGCCATTGAGCCAGCTCCCTTTTTCCCTTTGTGTTGACTATTTTATCCCCACAGTGAGCCTGGGTCTAAGTGCACGAGTCTGGAATCATACAGGACTTTGGGTTTGTCTAAAATCAGGGATATGGAAGACACAGAAATTGTCGGCCGCCAAAAACCCCAAGGCATACATGATTTATGTATATAAGGGGTACAAAGAACGCAGAGGATTCCCCCTTTGGCGGGCAAACTGGTGTAGGACACATTTATACCTAAAGGGCCGTGTAGCGGTTGGGACAGAAATACTCTGAAGGGTTCTGGAGACATCGAAAAAATATGAACAGGCAAGTAACCTGCAAGCACCGGGGGATTGCAGCGCAAGTCCACGTGAAGGAAAGAGGGGGGGTTCACCACCGCCATTTTGGAAACAAAGGGGGCGTGGAGAAAGGAAAAGTACACCCGACCGGAAGCGGAAGTGCAAAGGTAGCAAGAGGAAAAAGACTGGATTAGGAGACCTAATTTTATCTCTTTCTCAAATAAAAGAGAAAAACTTAAAGATTAAAAAAACCTCACGTAGAAAAATCCGGCGCGCTCTCAACGCGCCAACGCGACGCAACGCGCCTTCTCAGCCGGGCCCACGTGGGCGCGGGATATTGCTGCGCGCACGCGCCCTAAGCCGCGGCCCCTTCCCTCGGCTCGGAGAAGGGGAGGTCACGTGAGCGAGGCGCGCGCGGCACGGACGGGAGGGGGGGTGTTGGAGAATCATGCGGCCCCAGGGAGGGAACAAGAGGGGGAAATGGCGAGGGGCAAGGAACGAAGCAAGACGCCACCCCACAGTCCCGGGATCCTCACCTTGTTTATTCTCATTGAGCTGCCGCTCGAACTCGTCGAAGTCCGACATGCTTACGCGGCCGCGTAGGGCCCTGTGCAGCTCTCGCCTCGCCTTGCCGCCCGCCCGCTCCGGCTACTTCCGCCGCTGGCTTCGGCTACTTCCGGCCCCCGCCGGCACTCAGTCGTCTACCTAATCAAGCCCCCAAGCCCCGCCCCACCCTGACTCCACCCCCTCGTCCCGCCCGCCCCACCCCCCCCCCCCCCGCGAACTGCCCCGAGCCCGGCTCCGAAGCCAGTCGGCTATTCTCGGACTGTAGACTAGAAGTCTGCAGGAGGCGACGGCTACCCTCGAAACCACCCAATGCGAGAATGTTGCTTGCAGGCTGCCCAAGTTTCGGTAACTTTTCGGAGACAAGCGTCTCAACGTTCGGAGGATTCCGTGGGTCCTCGCGTTCCCCTACGCCAATACCCTGTAAATGTCCGGGTTTTTCCTACAATTCAAACCGTCTCAGTCTCTCGCTTCCTCGAGATTCGTCCCACCCCTCGCTGGCACTGTCCAGGCAGTCGGTCACTTCCAACAATCCTAACCGTCCAGACCTTCGGCTCTTTCCGAAGGTTTCCAGCGCTCGCTCACGACCCCTCAAGAGATTAAGCCCGAATCTAATCTTCGGCTCTTTCCGGAGGTTCCACTGGGTCACTCCGCCCCTTCCGGAGAATTTCGTTCCCTTCCGCCACTGCTTCGGGAAAGCCTCACGCGCAAGGGAAAACTTCGGCTTTTTCCGCCGTTGCTTCGGCTTCTTTCGGCTTCAAGAGCAAAAAAGGGAGGGAGTACAGATAAGAGGTGGGTCGGAGAGCTACAGAAGAGGGGGCGGGTCTCACTCTTGGCACCTGACTCTTGGTGAGGGGGATGGAAGAATGGCCGACCTCGTGGAAGGCCAGACAAGGTGTGCAGAACAATAGCAGTCAGTGGGGCAAAAGCTGCTCGAGGCCCCTGCGGAGGTTTTTTGCGCGTCTTGGGGCGCCTGCGCATGGTGATTTAGGAGGCGGTGAGAGGGGTTTGTGCGCCTGCGTAGCGGTCAGTCTGAGGCACGTTTTCTCAGGGCTCGGGAAGATCCGCCAGTCTAAATCCACATTGCGCGTGCGCGGGGACTTCCCCTTCCCTATCCCCCACCTCCCCACTGTAGGTACCAACTTCGGGACCGTTAAACTAGACTGTGATCTCCCGGTTGCCTTGGCAACCGCGTTAACTAGCCCCCCCTCCTACCGCGCAAGCGCAGGACGTGCCACCTCTGGGACTGCAATCTTCTGACCCCTGGCGGGCGGCAGAAATGAATCCACATAGCGTCCCCATACAGCCTCTACCAGGCGGGCTCAGCTAAAGGTCATTGAGTCAGTGCCCTAGCCGCTGCGCTTTAGAGTCTGCTTCCTTCCTAGTTTTCTCTAGGAAGAGGCTGCTGGCTGCTGCTCCCCTTCTCACTTCTGCCTCCTGGGGATAATTACACCCTGTCCTCCCCAACCTCTCTAGAGGCTCCTGCCTGAGCGCTCCCACCTCGGTCTCCTTGGCGACGGCCACCCCCTCCCGACCCATCCATCCCCTTTCTAGGAAGACCTAGGGCCCAATTTATTGAAAATGTTCATGTCTCTTTAATTTAAATTATCTGAATAATGCTCTGTCTTCATGTGAGATGCAAATGGGCTACTCCTGGCTAGGGAGGCCGAGTGGCCGTCCTTGCGGAGTGGAATGGAGATGGCGTGCCCAGCGTGGGCGGCCGAGGGGCAGGGCCCAGTGCTCAGGAAAGGGCAGCATCTGGCCCTGGCGGCGCCCCGGGCTAGCGAGCCGTCTGCGGGGCGGGGAGGTGGGCCGGGCGGCGGCATCACCGCTTGAAGCGGTAGGTTATGGGCAGGAGCAGCTTGCTCTTTTTTAGAGCCTGCACCTTCTTGAGAGTCTCGTCGTCCAGCGCCAGGAAGCAGCGGCGGGAGTACTCCAGCAGGCGCTCCTTGGACGGATCGAACTCTCCCACCTCAGCCAGCTTTTCGGGAGCCACAATGAGCAGCTCCGCGATGGGCGTGGTCAGCGCCACCGTGTTCCGGTCCACACGGTGGTGCTCAAAGGCTCGAGACATGCTCTTCAGCTTCTGGAAGGTGCCCAGGATCTTCTTGTAGCGGCAGAGGACCCCGTCAGCGTCCTTCACTGCAGGGCCAAACGGGCAGAAAAAGAACAGGGAAAGACAGCCATGTAGGGCCAGAGACATGGGGGAACCCAGGTAGGAACAGGAGGGCAGGCATAAGGAGGAAAGATGGGGTGAAAGGCACACACGTTAGAAAACAAATGAAAGCAAGGAAGAAAAAAAACACAAGGAAAGCCGGGCGGTGGTGGCGCATGCCTTTAATCCCAGCACTCGGGAGGCAGAGGCAGGCAGATCTCTGTGAGTTCGAGACCAGCCTGGTCTACAGAGCTAGTTCCAGGACAGGCTCCAAAGCCACAGAGAAACCCTATCTCGAAAAAT